CTGGAGCGTAGGCCGAATGGCAGCGCTCGATCAAAGTAAAATTGTCCTTGCCACTGAATACCAAGTAGAGACCAGTTTGGTGGGTGCACAGGGATGAGCAGAATGAGGAATGCATTGCGGATGGCCAGCTGTGTCAGCAATATACCCTGCCCGTAGGCCATGATTGTTTGCACTGCGTTGTCAACCCGGATATAAGACAGGCTAAATGTGGACGGGTCGATGCCATCGTTAACGCTTTTGCCAACAGCAGCTGATAAATCGTGGAAAATGCGTAGTTTACCATTCTCCTTGGGCACCATGCCAATGCCGGAGTACTGGAATGATGGAAATGGAGGGATGAAATAAGGGCCGCAGGTCTCTCCTTGTGCACAGGACGTTGCCAGATACTCTGATATGTACACGGAATATTCAGTACATGAGGGAAGATTTGAGTCTGTCACAGTCTGACCCATGAAGCCTAAGGCTATGCGGAATCCAGATTGTAAGCCCCTGCTAACGCAGGAAGAGAATGCCTTGCCTAAATGATCAGTGAGCAGTCTAGTAAAGCTGACAACATCGATGGGCGTGTGAATACATGGCATATTGGAATCAAGAACAGGGCTGGCTGGTATGATGAGTGACAGAAACTGTGTGTTACTACTGTCTTCACATGCCTGCTTCAAATCAGAGCTAGTGGCGTGGCGCCCCGCCATGCTTGGGTCGGGATCTGCCTGACCGTTCGGCGGGTGGAGCTGATGTGCTAGGCCAGTTGCTGGAGGAGTTGGCCATGCATGCCAAATTTTGGGTGGCGGCCTTGACATTACTGTAGAGGTGCACTCTCCCACACTCCCCTTGGCATCTGGTCCAGTTGTAACTCCGGCAAATTGGGCGGCCACTGACTGACGATGAGGAATGTATGCCGCCGAGGAGAGTGGCAGATTGACGACGTGGACACAGCCCCGTGAACGAGTGATGCTGCGAATCACGAAGCTTTAGCCTTGCTAGTAGTGCTCAGTTGCCACATGCTATGGCATGGTTAGCTTCGAGCATGTTAGCTTCGAGCTTTACCGCCCACCCACCATTGGGTCCTGTCCGTTTTTGCTTGTTTTGTCCGCTGTGTTCTGGTTTTCCATGGCATGTCGCATGCTGTGTTTCTGTCCCGAGGGGCTCAGGGTTTTTTTATGATTGCTTTCTTCCACTTGCTTATCTTCGGCTTTTTGGTTGTGACTGGCAGTTGGGTAGTTCCCATATTAGTAGAAGAGTTTTTTGGCGGCAAGGCAAGTTTTCCGCCAGCCCGGTTTAGCGGTCATGGCTGGAAATTTAGGGAGTCGGATTTTCAGGTGCTACCCTGCTGCCCAGTCATCCACACCATGCCATTGCTCTGCCCGTGTCTTGCACTGACATCTCTCTTGCTGGCCGGCTTGCTCTTTATTACTTTCTTGCCTTGTTTTTTTTGGCTAGTGTGTGGCTGCGAGTGTGGAATATGGTACACGGAGTGAATTCTCTGGTAGACCACTACCCACGTGCATTCTCTAGTAGACCGCTACCTACGTACATTCTCTGGTAGACCACTACCCACGCACATTCTCTGGTGGACCACTACCCACGTGCATTCTATATTAGACCGCTACCTACGTACATTCTCTGGTAGACCACTACCCACGTACATTCTCTGGTAGACCATTACCCAAGTACATTCTCTGGTAGACCACTAGCCACGTACATTCTCTGGTAGACCACTACCCACGTGCATTCTCTAGCAGACCGCTACCTACGTACATTCTCTGGTAGACCACTAGCCACGTACATTCTCTGGTAGACCACTACCCACGTACATTCTCTGGTAGACCACTACCCACGTACATTCTCTGGTAGACCACTACCCACGTACATTCTCTGGTAGACCACAACCCACGTACATTCTCTGGTAGACCACTACCCACGTACATTCTCTGGTAGACCACTACCCACATACATTCTCTGGTAGACCACTACCCACATACATTCTCTGGTAGACCACTACCCACGTACATTCTCTGGTAGACCACAACCCACGTACATTCTCTGGTAGACCACTACCCACGTACATTCTCTGGTAGACCACTACTCACGTACATTCTCTCGTAGACCACTACCCACGTACATTCTCTGGTAGACCACTACCCAAGTACATTCTCTGGTAGACCACTAGCCACGTACATTCTCTGGTAGACCACTACCCACGTACATTCTCTGGTAGACCACTACCCACGTACATTCTCTGGTAGACCACTACCCACGTACATTCTCTGGTAGACCACAACCCACGTACATTCTCTGGTAGACCACTACCCACGTACATTCTCTGGTAGACCACTACCCACGTACATTCTCTGGTAGACCACTACCCACGTACATTCTCTGGTAGACCACAACCCACGTACATTCTCTGGTAGACCACTACCCACGTACATTCTCTGGTAGACCACTACCCAAGTACATTCTCTGGTAGACCACTACCCACGTACATTCTCTGGTAGACCACTACCCAAGTACATTCTCTGGTAGACCACTACCTACGTACATTCTCTGGTAGACCACTACCCACGTACATGCTCTGGTAGACCACTACCCAAGTACATTCTCGGGTAGATCACTACTCGTCAGTATATTCTCCGGCACGTTCTCTGTGAGTACATGCTCTGGTAGACCGCTACCCACGTACATTCTCTGGTAGACCACTACCCACATACATGCTCTGGTAGACCACTACTCGTGAGTACATTCTCTGGTAGACCACCACTCGTGAGTACATTCTCGGGTAGACCACTACCCCATGTACAAACCGGTTTCTATCTGAGTGAAAGCAAAATTAGTTAATATGCCTCCTCAATCTCGGCTTACGAAGGATATACCCCTTGTGTGTTCCAGATGGTAGTCATGGTCATGCGGTGTGAGTTTTTCAAAGCTTGAAAATGCATTGTCCCACTATCCCGGTCCGTGGAACATCAGACATTCGTTGGTAACTTTGTGTATTGTAAAGTTAGCCATCATGGCATGTGACAAGAAGGAAATGAATTTAGAATTCCAGGGTCCCATTCTTCTTCCCACAAGAAACAGTTTGAGTTTAGCAACACAGTGCTGTGTGCCAATATTTGTTTGACTAGGACGCTTCCATTGATTGCAAATACACTTCTGGTTTTTCTATGTAATTTGTTTCTATCTGATTTCTGTTTCTCAGAAAATAAGGATTGTAACGAAAAGGTATATCATACGTTAAAAAGGTGTGCACCTTCCAGATACAGTGCTGTTCCTACAAAATTGTATGATGTAATAGTTCTCTAGCGAGCGACTTACAACGTATTCACTGTCTGTCAACGCGTTACATGGGATCATATGTCCTCCACAGGTACACGACGAGATATGTACTACACGCTTTGTCATTAAGATGATGTCAACTTTGAATTCTGTCAGGACAGAACCGATAGTTGAGGGGCTATGTACTCTGGATGTAACTAATGCAGGAGTGTCAACGAGTAGTAGGGTACCCGTGCTACCCGTAATTTGATTGGGTACTTCCTCCTGAAGCAAAATCTTCGTGACTTTTTTCACTACTTTTCGCTGCTGTTATCTCTCTCTCTTTCTCTCTCTCTCTCTCTCTCCCCCTCTCTCTCTCTCTCTCGCTCTCTCGCTCTCTCTCTCTCACTCTCTCTCTGATTATGTTAGCCTTAAACACTGACATGACATTTCGGAATTGTAGGAAAGCATGATTCATATTTTGGAGAGCCGACAGTCGTCGCAGAGCAAGGGTGTCGACGCTGCAAACAAAGCAAAGCGAACGTGTTTTTTCATGTTCAGCCATCAGGCGCAATGGGAAGAAAAGCACTGCGCTCATTGCTCGTCTTAGCTATTTTTTTAGTTCAAAACTTGACAGAGCAGGACAATGGCACTGACGTGCAAGAAGAGTGGAAAATGAATAGCTTTGAAATCCCCGAAACGCCTGTCTGCATGCGAACAGGTCGGCAAGATGTCAAAACTCCACAACTCAGAGATGTGACAATCGCCATTTAACGCAGCAAAGCAATATGAACAATTTCATAATAGAAGCCGTTCAGCCACTGCAGAGCCCAGACCTCAACGTGGATGATCTCGCCTTTTCTAGCAGCCTCAGCGATGTGTCCTGGTTGACACACCGGTGAGAAGGCTAGATCTGATCGTGGCCGCCGGGAAGTGCTGGTACAACTATGATATCCCTCGGAGAAAATTTGAAATGAGTGGCGCTGCCTGTGTTTGCTTCGGGGCATCCTCGAGCCAGAGCAAATTCGCAATGTGTACTAGCGCTGCAGCGCTACCGTGGTCTCTGCTGAGATGTTGGGGAAGGCACTCAGGTAACAGCGAAGACGATCAGAGACACGAGAAGCTCCTCCGTGACATACGACATCACGTTAATCGACCTGCGACTTGGAACGGTTTCAGCGGTGATGAGTCGAGCGATGGCAACCCAGACTGAGACTCTACTCAGACTACTCAATCCTATAAATATTGTAGACATGTCGATTGAATGTATTGAAGTGTTTCTAATCCAAAAGAACACTTTTGTTGAGCTCAGTAACTCCTTGAAAAAATGAAAAGTAATGTCAAAAAGTCACGAAGTTTTTCTTGCCGGAGGAAGTAGTAGGGTATCCATTTTTTCTCCTGAGAACCCGATCGGGTGGTTGGAGTACAGTGTTTTTGCAACGGTGCATGTAAATAGCATGGCTACATGTACATGCTGCTGTACAATTTCTATGTAGCGCAAGTGCACACTCACAGTACAAACTGTGTCAAAAATACCCATTAGGGTACCCGCGCTACCCGGATAAAATGCCCGGACCCGTTACCCGACAAAACCCCTACCCACTGCGGCCCTAAACTAATGCACCGCTGAAAGTCGTAGAAATTAATTGCAAGTTGTACATAGTTTGAGAGGTGAAAATTGCTTTGGTGCGGCACTTGCAAAGCATGATTCATTTGAGGGGATGGAGGAGATACTTCTGACTTACCATGATTGTCATGGGAATTCTCTCACTAAACTTCCAAACGCGAAAGTATGGCTTCGGCACTTGTTCCAAGAGATCCGGTCTAGTCACAGGTTCAGTTGGAGTGCCGCTATTCACGGTTTGTCGGACTTGTTCCACATCGTCATCTTCACATGCTCTCACCAGGTCTGGATGAGGTGCATTGGTTGAGTAGTAGTGATCACCGTACTCAGCCAGACCTGGTGGTAGATACTTGTCCTCACTCTCCTCTTCAGATGCTGTTTCCATTGCTACAGTACAAACATAAGCACATTGAAAAGCAATGTCTACTTGTACATGGTAAGATTGCATGGTGTGTAGGTAAATACTGGGATTGCATGGTGTATAGGTAAATACTGGGATTGCATGGTGTATAGGTAAATACTGGGATTGCATGGTGTATAGGTAAATACTGGGATTGCATGGTGTATAGGTAAATACTGGGATTGCATGGTGTATAGGTAAATACTGGGATTGCATGGTGTGTAGGTAAATACTGGGATTGCATGGTGTATAGGTAAATACTGGGACAGGGAACGCAGCATCTTCTTCTGCTAAACATGTATCTGTCAACATGACATCTTTGAAAACTAATGAATCACTTGTTGGCGAAGTCACCATCTGTTGGGCCTAGGTCGAAAGGTTGGACTGATCTACATCAAAGTCAGCCAGCCTCTAATAGTGATACAGCAGTGATGGTATAGAACTGTAAAGTGTGTTCAGCGCTGGCAGACCTGGATAACTGCTTTCTGGTACACGAACTGGACTGGGGATAGGTTTCAGTAAGTCTGTTATGTGCACTGCACAACATAGCACCGCAATATAGTACCGCTATAATTATGAAGGAAATGAGCGAGCAGTGGATTCCAAGCATTGTGTTGTGATGCACACACATACCTAGTACATCACACATACCTAGTACATCACACATACCTAGTACATCACACATACCTAGTACATCACACATACCTAGTACATCACACATACCTAGTACATCACACATACCTAGTACATCACACATACCTAGTACATCACACATACCTAGTACATCACACATACCTAGTACATCACACATACCTAGTACATCACACATACCTAGTACATCACACATACCTAGTACATCACACATACCTAGTACATCACACATATCTAGTACATCACACATACCTAGTACATCACACATACCTAGTACATCACACATACCTAGTACATCACACATACCTAGTACATCACACATACCTAGTACATCACACATACCTAGTACATCACACATACCTAGTACATCACACATACCTAGTACATCACACATACCTAGTACATCACACATACCTAGTACATCACACATACCTAGTACATCACACATACCTAGTACATCACACATACCTAGTACATCACACATACCTAGTACATCACACATACCTAGTACATCACACATACCTAGTACATCACGCATACCTAGTACATCACACATACCTAGTACATCACACATACCTAGTACATCACACATACCTAGTACATCACACATGCCCACACACCTTGGCACTTGCAGACACGCAGGCTGTTCTAGAACTACCTAGTGATGTTAGTTGTAATGACATTCCCCAAACTGTCTTTGTCTAGGCAAGTGTGCATGTGGATGTATGATGTTGTAGTCAGGAGTTATTTTGCCAGGAGTCTTGTTTATCTCTTTGGCTGGGTACTGCTGCTAGGGTTCTAGCAACAAGGGAAAACGGTCCATTTTCACTAAAACACGCCACCCAGAAAGACCCGTGAATCAGGCAACCAATCTCTATAACTATTCCATGGTATATAGCCTCCGGGAAAGCTACTGCTACAAGGCAATCGATAAACTAGAGCGCCAGTCATCATACATAAAATCAAGTGCCAACGCACTGCGGAAAAGTCTTTGAGCGTATGATGATATGCGCGTTCGTTGAGCGCTATAATTCAACGAGTAAAGATTCCATCGCTTGAGCGATTATTGCAATCGCAAGCTGAGATAATCGATTGAGTGATTGAGTAAAGATGCATGACGGTGATGAAGAAAAGACCCGCATAAGGACCGGGTCTAAGCCGCACGGCCCGCCAGGGGCTATATCATCCAGCCCGCTATGGGCCAACCACATACTGTCCCCCGGGAGCGCTCAAATAGCCCCCGCGGCCTGCCAACTCACCCGCCGCGGGCTTAACTGGCATCTGCCCACTAAGGGTGTATGAATGGCCACGGAGGCCAGGAAACCGCCCACCGAGGGCTAAGTCAGCATACTGCCCACCGAGGGCCCATGAATGGCTAAGCTAGCATACTGCCCACCGAGGGCCCACGAATGGCTAAGCTAGCATACTGCCCACCGAGGGCCCACGAATGGCTAAGCTAGCATACTGTTCACAAATGGCCGCCTTGGCCAGCAAACCGCCCACCGAGGGCTAAACTAGTATACTGCCCACCGGGGGTGTATAAATGGCTGCCGACGCCAGCAAATCGCCCGTTGAGTGCTAAACTAGCATACTGCCCACCGAGGGCGCACAAATAGCCGCCACGGCCAGCAAACTGCCCGTCGAGGGCTAAACCAGCAGACAGCCTATCGAGGGCGCGCAAATTGCCACCTGAGGTCTGCAAACTGCCCACCGTGGGCCGATATCACCTTGAGGACGCACAAACGGCCACCGATGCCACCAAATCTCCCACCGAGGGCTCACACGACTGCCTGGCATCTAGCGTCACAACATACAGACAACATATGCGGCCCGTTTGGCCCTCCCCTCCCACCCGGATAAACAATATGCCACCCTGAAAGGGGTGGGAGGGAGGGAAAAAGGTACGACTTGACACTCAAACTGCAACTGCAAAGTATGCTCCTTCGCACAAAGACGGCTCAGCAAAACACGTCTCCAAATAAGACGCCATATCCACGATTGTCCGTGATATCTTGTGTTCTCTTCACCATTCTCTCAGCCAGATATATGCCGATGACAAAGCATTGTACGTCGCTAGCAACGATTACAGCGCTGTAACAGATAGGCTCCAGGAAGACCTCACCCGCCTGCACCAAGCACTAAAATGGACGTCCGGTGAAAATTTAAATTTCAGGGTCGGTAGAGTTTCGCGCGCTGAGTCGAATGGTGTTGGTCCCACGTGTCTCCGACAAAGCGTTCTCGAGATATTTCCGTTTGAAAAACTGAGTTTCAGGGGCTGCGCCATGACGTCATGCGGCCGTGCCACACCCTCCGCAACGTCATAGCGCGCAGCTAGGTCAAAACGAGTGCGTGAAAGCAATAGTGTCCATGCTATTTCAAAATGATTGGGCGACTGATATTAGGTGGTGCAAGCGACCCTGAAGACCTAACCCCTTGTGCGAGTAAGGATGCAGCCATGGCTGACCTTCATGAGTTTGGTCTGGTGCTGAGAACCTCGGTATTCAGCTGAAAAATGGCCGCGCGGGCCGGTCAAGAGTGAGCGCTACTGAGTTTCCGACTGATGAAGAAGCAGCAGCTATTGCAGACGAGGCTGATATAATTATCAGATCGCTGGAGAGCAGGGTCGCCAAAATGGAGAAGAGTGATGCGAGTGCTCTAAATGTTGTTCCATACCGATTCGCTTAGACTCAAGTAGCCTGCCACATGGTGATGTTTTGGTGCTAACTTGGCATATTACGGACTACTCAATTGGAGAACAGTGCAGGCTCTTTGAACCACGGGCACGACTCTTTGCTCGCAACGCTATGGAATCTGAAAGTTCTAGGTCCGGGAGCTGTTTGCTGTTTTGTCACGTGTCACGGTTGTGCACTCATCGCTGCAGCATAAAAATGAGGCCGGACTGGAGCGGAAAACTAAAATTTTCTTTCTCAAAGCACAACCACCGGCACCGGCAAGGAGAAACGCACGTTCTCTGACTACATGACTGTACAATACGACTGATACGAGTGTAGTACATGACAAGTCCGTGTGTTGACTAGTTTTCTGAGTCTTGTGTCTCGAGTCTTGTTGTAGCTAGCCCAGCACGGCAGTGCGGGAGTAGTTCCGTGTGTGATAAGTTTGTTGACTGCACTACAGCTAGCATGCACGCAGCGCATTGCTAGAGCCGTAGAGCACTGACGGAAAAAGTCCAACTCGGAAACGGCTAAAATACGGTATACAGTCACTTTCACCCCTACATATAATGAGACTTCGGATATAACGACTCTTCGCGAATAAGGACACCTTTTGATGCCCCGCCGAGTGTCATTATAGGCGAAGTTGACTGTAACCTCGAGGTTTACCGAGCTGCAAATCACAGGGTACGTAGTGATTGTAACACTGAATCGAACCGTCTTGGTCCGAAGAAGCTGTGACAAACGGTTCCCCAATCGAACGCGCTGCGAATATGGCCATTTTGTACACGACTAGATGGTGTGGCTACCTGGCTGCACGCTGTGACGTCATCACCTGGATCTGGGTGATAAGCGCTTAAATTCGCACATGGTCGATTGGGCGTATCTGACGAACCATAGGCCGCAGCCTCCTCGGACAAAGACCATTCGACTCAGCGACCAGAACTCTACGGACTGTGAAATATAAAATTTTCACCGGACTTCCCCTTTAACGGAGGAGGGCCTGATTTTCAACCCCCAGAAGACCAAATTTGTCTTGTTTAGGCAGCCTGCAAAGTTGATTCCCGGCCACCTCAAGCTGACTTGTGAAGGCGTTGATATACCACTGTCCACCAATGCCAAATATCTTGGTGTCAAAATAGATGAGTACCTGACTTTTGAGCGGCACGTGAATAATGCCTGCAACACTGTTCACAAGAAGTTAGGTGCATTCCGCCATGCTGCACAAGCATGACCTCACTCATGCTGCCCGTTGCATGTTCTATTTAGCCATCATACAATTCAGCTTAGAGTATTCTAGTTTTGTGTATGTCAAAGATTTAAGTGAAAGAATTTACCAGAAACTATTGCAGACTGGGAATGCTGCCATTAAAAAATATTCTGCTTGTCCCGCACTACACCAACCCCCATGCTTTGCATGTGTCCAACCTGCTCTGTTTAAAATAGCATATTGATCTTAAACTCCTTCTATGTACTTATCTCTGTGTCCACAGCCAGGCTAGTCTACTTCTGCAGTAACTATGTCAGCTTCGTACGCACGCTACCCACACAGTTGTGGTGACCCGTGGACAGGCCACCTCTGCTCTCAGCCTTCCTACTGCCCATAGATGCTCTGGCTTTCACTCCCTCACATACAGCGCAGTTGTTCTCGTCGACTCCACCGC